AATTACCCACGAACTCTACTCATATACATTCAATAGAATTGCAAACACAGACACATAAAATTTGAACATGAATAGTCCCAATGTAGAAAAACAACATATGCCCACCAACAGATGAATGGATAAAGAGATATTGTCCATCTATACATGGAACATTACTCACAGAAGAAGGACTGATACATGCTGCCACATGAATGAGCCTTGAACACATGCTAAATGAAAATGGCCACACATAGCAATTGTAAAGTTTTCTTTATATGATGTGTCCACGATCCATCAATAAATCCACAGAGGTAGGAAATAGGTTACTAGTTGCCTGGAGCTAGGGACTGATTGCTTATTAGTGGATAGACTGTTCTTTGGGGGGTGATAAGCGTTTTCTGGTGTAAGATAATGCTGGTGGCTGCATGACTTGATGATCATACTAACACTAAATCATACACTTTAAAATTACTGGTGAATTTCATGTTATGTGAATTGTACCTCAATTCCCCAAACTACCTTCTGTAAGAATTCATTTGCATTCACTTTCGCCCTCACCCCTAATTTCCTGATGGCAGTAACTTCCCGAGGGACTTCTTCTCTCTGGTACTCACGCTCCTCCTTCCTAGGTGCCGTCCTACTGAGGCCAGGCTGATGGCTGCTGAATTATTTTTGTGAAGAAAAGGCAAGCGGCTTCCTTTGTAGTGTGGGGCATCTGTTGAAGAGGGGGGATGGTCACACCATCCTGCTTCTGTCTTAAGATGGGTTTAAACAGTCCTGTGATGTTTTAAACATTTAAAAAGATTATTTTTGAAGCTGGTGTTTAAACGGAGAAAGCAGGATGTAGGGGCTACAACTTCAAAGCTGAACTCCTCAAAACTGCACAGAAGTTAATCAAGCTGTCTCGCACATCACATTAAAGTGCACCCAACAACGACCAGGGGATTCTACTCAGACTAGAAACCTTTCTTACAGCGAGCAAACGCGAATCTCAGAGGACTAGTGGGAAGCAAGGCCATTTTACTTGTAGATTTTGTTTTATAGGAATGATGGTGTCTCCTGGATCTCACTGCACAAGGATTTTTTTTTAAGTCAGGGAATTATATATGGTGTGCTCTGCTCTAAGAAAATGTGCCACATAAACTCAAAACAGTCTTTGCTTAAATCATAAACGTTTATGGAAATAACACAAAATCAGCTGCTGAGTTCTAGGTGGTACTCAAATTACAGACACAAAACATTTTTCATCCCCTCCATAAAATTCCCTCACCTACGCAATTGCTTCCTCTCAGGGCTGCAAGAGGAATGAGCTGCTTCCTGGGAATGGGCCAGGGTAGACGGGGCAGATGCTGGGCACCTGGAGGCTGATGCCATGGTCACCCTGAAGGGTGAGCTACTTTTTTTTCTTTCAGCCTATGTTTCTGCTAGACATGCTTCATTTACAGCATTTCAGGCAAGGCATTTGGGGCCATCTGTGCTGTGGACTCCCACACTTCAGTGCTCCTCTTAGGACGGAATACAGCAGATGACCTGGAGCTACGTTTTCTCATCCAGGTCTCAGGCTCAGGGTGAAGACCATGGAGTTTTCTCAACCACAGGAAGCCTGGAGACCCTTTAAAATGAACTCCTCTGAGCCTGAGTTATCAGACTCCCTCAGCTCTCCTGCCTGAGTCCTCTTCTATGTCCACAGGCCTCAGCACCTTCCCCTAGAACTCCCCAGGCATAGGCCTAGCACATTTGGACATGTCTGCAGAACGCGTGAGCTCCTGGGTTAAGGATCTTTACCACTCCAGCCCACTTCCTCCCAACCCCACACAGTGGCCTGGGTTCCACTTCAGTGAATTAAACCCCTCACACTCCACCTCTCTGAGTGCTCGCTGTTGCACCACAGGGGGTGACAGGGTGTGCATGCAGACCTGTGCTAGCCATCCCTTCCCTCCCTTCCTCCTCATCCCCTCCTCCCTCCTCATCCCTTTTCTTCCTCCTTCTCCTTCCCCTTCTGTTGCACCCTTTCCCGGTGGGGGTCTGCTGACCAGCTTGTGACTAGGAGCTTCTAACAAATACCTCTTGTCCCCTCCTTCCAGTTAAGCCTGAATGCAAGTTCCTGTTGTCCACCCATCTTTTGCCAGAGGGCCCTGGGAACGTGAGCTTCTGAACTTGGTAGTTTTCCACCGTGCCTGTTACTGGTATATAACGCTCCGCTCTTGCTACAATAAATGCTATTCTCCTTGCAGAATGAGCCGCTGTCTTTTGTCTTCATTAACATCCTCAGCCCTTCGCTCGGATCATTGAGAAGTGGTGTAGCCCCAAACCGTTTGCCACACCATCTCCTGTCCTATCTTTGGTGGTGGTTGTTTGATTTTTTTTTCCTTTTAGGTTGTTTTAATTTTTAAGTAATGCTTCACTAAGTTCTCTGGATAAATTCAGTCTGTGGTCCAGGCTGGTTTCAAACTTGTGATTTCCCTGACTCAGCCTCTGAACGATGAAATTATAGGTGAGCATCACTGTACCAGCTTCCTATGGTCCTCCCCTCTATCTCTGCCTTCTCCTCCCTTTCTGTGATGCCCAAGCTGGTCTTGAACTATCTGTCTATGCAGCTCTTTCTGCCTTTTTTTTTTCAAAGACAGGGTCTTGCTATGTATCCCTGCCTGTCCTGAGACTCACTGCACATAGGCTTCTTCTGGGGTTCCTGGGTCTAGTTTCACTGCTGGAGCACTTGCATGGCAGACTCTTGTTATGTCCACAGAATAACAATATTAGAGGTGGTCACACTGAGTGACTACAGGCCCATTCCCACGCTGGACCTCCTTTTCTCACTGGCATCTCATGGCAGCCCCCTGGGCTGGCACTAGGCCATGTGCTGAACTTGATTCTTCCCATTTGATCCCAAGATACTTGTAGAAGTTAAGCCACTTTCTTAAGTGATGTGGCAGCTGGGCCTCCGTGTCCCCCCCCAAAGCAAGGACCATCCATGGCCAGAGTCCCATGGCAATTCCAGATGTCAGGACTTGTACCCATGTGTTGCTAGGTTCACTTTCCTTGCACTCGACAGCCCCTCTGCAGATGTCTCCATGCTGTTTCTGCCAGTGCCAGCCAGTTCTTGAGCTGCAGATGTTCCCAGCCAGGTAAACTGTAGATAATCCTAAAACACAGTGGCTTCCAGGACAAGACCACCACCAGCAGGGGTTACTTTAGATGGAGTTTTCCACCAGCAGGGTTACTTTAGATGGAGTTTTCCACCAGCAGGGGTTACTTTAGATGGAGTTTTCCACCAGCAGGGTTACTTTAGATGGAGTTTTCCGCCAGCAGGGTTACTTTAGATGGAGTTTTCACGGAGTAGCCCTTACTTCTGGGCTCTGTGTACTCATGGCCATTTGCTTTCTTAGTTAAGGAACCAGGTTCCCACCTTGCCTTACTCCTGCTACTTCAGCTCTGCCTCAAGCCGGTCCAAGCTAAGGGCCCGTGGTAGCTCCACCTCCCGTTTCCTCAGGCGTGCCCATCTTCACCTCTGTGTGGTTTCCCTGGCTGCATTTTTTCTCACTTGGGCGGCATACAGCCTACTGGTGGCGATATAGGGAATTCAGATCAAATGTGGGTTCAGATGGAGTGGCAAAAGAGGGTCAGGGCTTGGCTTCATTCGGCTGCTCACAGAGCTAAATTCAAACTGCTCCGTAGTCGACTATGGCTTCTAGAGCCCAGCTTCTCTCCGCGTCTCCCTCCTCTTGGTGCTCAAACATGCTGTGTCCCAGTTGTCTCCAGGCCCTCCTGAGCTGTGCTACAAGCCAGCCCCGGCCCCTCTGTTCTCTGTAGACTGTGGCAGGGGAACAAGGGCGGAGAAGGAAGCCTCAAGCTTAACTTCTGGGGGCGGAGGGGGGTTGCTTTTAATTTGTAAAGCCATGCTTTACTTGATACATGGCAAATGCGATTTACATATTAAAGTTTTAACTTGTGAAAGAAGTACGTTGACAGGAAGACCAGAAACAAGAGTGTGCCCGAGCCCTAGTGGCTCTCAGCATTCCTAATGCTGCACCCTTTAACAGTTCCCCATGTTGTGGTAACTCCCCAGACATAAAATTATTTTTTGCTTCTACTTCATAAGTATAATTTTGCTGCTGTTATGACTCACAATGTAAATATCTGATGTGCAGGATATCTGATTTGCCACCCTTGTGAAAAGGTCATTTGACCCCCAAAAGGGTCTCGACAAACAGGTTTAAAACCCAGGTGTTATGTAAATGACCTATGACAGTACTCATTGGTCATTCTGGGGTTTTTGAGTGGGGCCACTTCCTGTCCCTGGAGTGCCTTTCTTGTCTTTAATAGGCTCTCTGCTACTACCCATGTGTCCTTGGTCTTTGTGTGGGACACGGACTCTGGAAATCTCTGCAGCTGCTTTGTAGAGGCTGAGCTGATTCTTTAATGCATCCTCACTTCTCTGGGTCTGAGGGACACTCCTCACTCCAGGCTCCTCCCCTCCCTCCAGGCTCCTTCCCCCCCCTTTCTCAGTGTAATGCTATGAGGAACCTCATAGCATTCAGGACATGTAAGACAGGATGGTGCATGTGTGTGTCCTGTGGCCAGCCCCAATTCCCCCTCACCATGTCACATTGTGTTGTACCCAAATTCTGAACTCTAAAATCACCAAGAGGCCCATTTCGATGCACAAGCAAAGAGTCTTTTATTGTAGTTGTTTAACGAGCTAACCCCATTAGCTCAGGCCTTTCATCTATCCACTGTAGCTGAAGCTGGAGAAAAACCCCAAGAAATCATTAGGTGGAGATCTTACAGGGCAGCGTAAGGGGAGTGTCTAGGGGTATGAAACAGTCTTGGGATTGGTGCGCTTTCAGGCTTGGATGACTTGCCCTGTGTTGATTGGTCAACTGGTTGTTATGGCCCATAGGCCCTCCCAGGGCGGTTGCTATGTTCTGCACGTCACTGTTGTGCACTGTCCGTAAAGCACACCCAGAGCCATAAAGCACAGCCCCGCCAGCTAACTTCTGATTGGTGCCTTGCCACGAGGGCATCTGACCTTAGTGACCAGGACAGGAGGGGCAAGGTCAGATGAGCACAGGTTAGCCTGTCATGACTGCTAAAACAGGGGGCTGGCCACTTCAATTGAGGCAAACCCCAGGACTCCTTGCTTGAGGTGAGCGAAAGGCAGAGCTCTAAATGGAAATGATGAGGCCTCCTTTGAAACCCTAAAGCCCAACCCCACTGACACACCTCCTCCAACAAGGCCACTCCTCCTTATTCTTCCCAAACAGTTCCACCAGATGGGGACCCGGCCTTCAAACACACAAGCCTGTGGGGCCATTTCATCCACACATCACAGTCCTTTCGGAAGCAGGCTGGAGCAGTCAGGAGGTAGAGCTCTTGTCTAGCATTAATGCGTCCCCAGAACTGCACAACAATACCAAAACCGTAACCCACATCAAAGCACTGCCATCACACCCCAGCTGAGATCTCTTAAGACTGTTTCATTGCCCCAGCTGCCCGAGAAGGAATCCTTTTTGTGAGGTGCACGGCATGGAATCTCGGGCTTCAAACGTGCTAGGCAAAGTGTTTGACCTATGAGCCACGTCCCGCCCAAAGAAACGTGTTCAGTGATTTGATTAAAAGAGGATGCAAATAAGGTCCATGCCTTATTATTATTTTTTTCTAAACTGCAGTTAACTTACAGGTTCTCTGTCTTCTCCGCCTTGTCCAGTCTCTCTGTTGAAGAACAGGTCTCTTGTCCTGTATAATTTCCTGTCCGTTTGTGAACCAGGGTGTCACTCAGAGGTAGGCTGGCCTGGAACTTGCTATGTGACTCAGGCAGGCCTCAAATTCACTGTGCTTCTGCCTCTGAACCCCCAGTGCTGGGATGGCAGTAGGGGTGCCACCACGACTTGTTCCAGTGCTCCCTTCTGAAACCTCAAAGCCCAGTGACTCACCTCCTCCAACAAGGCCACACCTCCCAATACTGCCACTCCCTGAGAGCCTAAGGGCCATTTTTATTCAAACCATCACATTCCCCTAACATTTTGGGCTCCCTCGCTCTGCGATGATGTATTAAATATCCGTCTCTGGGTCTTTTACTTGTGTTACTTTACTCTGTCCTCACCATGTGGCTGATTGTCCATCAGGTCTCATCTCCTGTAGCCTTTTTTCCCCCTCTCCTTTCCAGGCAGCTGCTGAGTATAACTTGGGTGCTTCCAGATTTTTCTTTAAAACTTTAATTAAATTGTCCCCGTGTTTCTCTTGGACTCTGTTCTTAAAATCTTTTATTAATGAGACTAAGATCCCCCAAGGGGACCCTGATTTCCCCTGCATCACTACGGCAGATTCTTGCCATGTGGGAAGCCCCTTCCTAGTGAGTCAGAGGATGGTGAACGCACCTGACTTCCCTGGGTGAAGCTGGTGCTCCCGCTGGCTTGGGGTGGCTGGTGTTGTGGTGTGCCCCTCCCCCTGGCCTCACCGGAGCTGGCTGGCTGCATTCTGCACACCCTACTTTTCCCCTGGCCTCTTCCCTCCCCATCTCCACTCCATCAAAGGCCTCCTGCTTTCCACCCCTTTGGGTTTCAATGGCTCCCAAGTCCTACTCCCAAAGTAGGCATGGGGGTGACACAGGGACTAACCGCTGTCATGCTCTGTGTGACGGTGTGTAAATGTCAGACGTGGAGGGTCACTTTTCCTGGCTTACCCACCGACCGACCATTCCTGGACATGCTGCTGCTGGGGAGGCTTTTTTCTCACTAATGCCGTGTTGGCGTGCGAATTGTGATACTTTCCTTCTCTACTCAAGACGCCCAAACTATTTTCAGGTAGAAACTATTTTCATGTACCAGCGGCTCAATGCAAATGAGCTTATACAAGTAAAAACCAGAAGCGTGAGGGCAGGCGAGTCCAGCTTGTGTCACACAAGTGTGCTGAACTCAGCAAAGGGATAAGAGCCGCTACCGGGGGAGGGCTGGGGAGTTGGCCCTTGGAAGGCTAATTTTCCTTTCTTCATGTTCTCTTCTCCAGTTTCTGAACTCTTCGGACCACACCTCAGCTGTGCTTCAGATCATCTGCGTGTAAAGACTGTCGGAAAAGAACAAGGTGTCAGGGGCCCCTCTCCACGGCTTGGGCCAGGCAAACTGGGCTCACGTCTGGTCCATACGCTTTTCACCGACGTGACATGACTGCAACTACTAACTGGTGGGTGGTTTTGCCTGCCTGTTTATAGCGTATCTGATACTCAGTTTGGATTAGGGGTTAGGGTGTAGATAAGCTGCTCCAGGGGCAGGGTGCGGAAAGGCCGACTCAGCTGTCAGTACCCCGAGAGTCTGCCGTCCATTGTCACCCTTTTTCTTACCTTTTCTCCAGGATCCATTTTCCTCTCAGGGAAGTGTCCACTTAGGTGCCCCAGCCAGCAAGCTGGTTTTCAGAAAGCCCCATGGCAACCGTGTACCAATACCTTAAACTATCGCCAGCATGCTGGCCTGCTTCTTCCGGTAAGTCTGTAGGTTACAGATGTGTGCAACAACATGGATGAATCCCCAAAACAGGCTGAGTGAGGGAACCAACAAACTCACCCCAGGAGACAGATGTAAAATGTCCCTGGGGATGGGGGTGGGATTGACAAGATGCCTAAAGGACGTCCCTGGGGTAAATGAGAATGAGATGTTGCACTTCTTGTTTGGGGAGTCGTCACAAGAAGACACAACTGTCCAAGTCATGAATCTTAATGTGTATGCTCTGTGCATTTTATTATGGTTTAAAAAGTTTTGAAAAGGAAAGTATGTCAAGATTCTTACTGCGTTTTTATTAAATACACCTCTGAAGAAGCTTTTATGCAAGACCTAGGTTTGAATTCTACTTGCACAGCTCCTAACTGTAGGACCTTTGCCCGCTGACGAACTTTTCTTAGTTTTCATGTCTATAGATCGGTAGTAGAAACAGTGCTTGGCACAAAAGGAGCTGGGCATATGGGTGAGCTGACTCCCGAAGCTCCGTGTCAGTGATGTGGGGTCACCATTTCTTCTTTCCCAAGAGTTTGTTGATTGACATCTCCTGGCCACGCCCTGCCGCCACTGCCCTTTTTCTCACGCTACAGGACTCCATCCTCATCCACAGGCTACACGCCTGAGCAGAATGCTCTGGAGCTGGGACAGGTGGTGTCGGCACCATGGCATTTGTGTCCCCAAACCCGTGTACGGACTTGTTCGTTCACACCGGCAAAAACAGACCATGGAGGTAGAAACGTATCATCACGTGTGGGTGTGTAGGCCATCCTACACATCGCCCACACTTGACCGAAACATCGTTTTAAGGCTCTGGACTTTACCTGGATAAATCTCATGAGAATTACTTAACTTCTAGTGGTTTTATTCTGGCCCTAGTCATTTCATAATGAACGTACCGTCACAACACGGGTGTTTTTGTGGCTTCGGCAGTGCTGAAGCAGAGAAGCAGGAGGTGGAGAAGGGGGGAGGGAGAAGAGAAAGAGGCGGGAAGTGGACCCTGCTGGCCTCTATTCTGTGGGCTGTTGAACCTCCCCAGGGCAGGCTGGCTGAGCCTTTATTCCGAAGCCTGCCGTTTCTCCCCAAAGCTCCCGTTCTGACTAAGGAGGCTAACTCAAGTGAATCCACGGGAAAGAAAAAGGAAAGTGATATTCTAATTTTACCCAGTTCAGAATGCAACCAGACACGGGAATGCGCCTGCGATTCTGACTCATGAGTGCACCAGAGCTTTGTTTTAGGGAGCAGCAATGTGTTCAGTCCAAATTGGCCGTGAAGTGAATAAACATTATTTTCCCACCGAATTCAGCTCTAAAACGACGGGAAATCTTTCTATGAGAACTGGAAAGCAAAAACAAAACAACAAAACCACACAGCAGACAAGAGTGCCACTGCCAGGAGACACGAGCCCCAGAGCTGACCTTGCTGGGCGCGCAGGGACCTCCCTGCCTGCAGGCAGTCTGGGTTGTAGTTCACAGACCAGGCTGGAAGGAGTGCCCCAGCTTCCCTCAGCTTCACTCTGCTTTGTTACTTGAGGGCCATTGACACCAGGCCCAGCGTGCCTTTGGTTCATTGGCTTGGGCTCCTAATTAAGTATTTAGTAAATTCATAACTCTGCACATTAAATTCATGCTGCACAAGATTACTTAGCATGTGAGCTTCACAGCCCCTCAGACCACCCTTATAGATTCAGCATCTCAGCAGCCATTCAAACTGCTCTCGCCAGCTTGTCTACAGCGGAAGGAAAGAGTGCACACTCTCTCTCTCTCTGTCTCTCTCTCTCTGTCTCTCTCTCTCTGTCTCTCTCTCCTTGGGTTGAATATTTATTGAGCAAATATTAAAGGGTTAGGGACAAAACCAAAAAGGGGAAAACAGAAGGGGAGTGACTGTTTGAGATGATCATGATAGGGACAGCAATACAGTGATAACAATATAAATGCAGAGTTCTATCCCAGTAGATGAACTTTTTATTCATTCATCACAAAATGAAAACAAACTAACGAAGGAGAAAAAGCCCCAAACATTGTCCAGTCTCTATTACCCAAAGATAGGCATTTTTTTCAGGGTTTTAGAAGCCCTGGCTTTTAAGCTAGAGGTCCTGTAAGCGTTTCCTTTCCATGGAAAGGCCAAGCTGGTAAGGTGCCAGCAAGCCTCGTCATCTAAGCTGGGTCTGGACTCTCATGGGGGAGAATCCACTATTGCAAGCTGTCCTCTGATCCCATAGAGTGCTATGTCAATATGCATTCCTCTCCCCACAACAAAGAAATAAATAAATGTTAACTTATCTAAAAAGAGCTTTAGGTAGCACCCCGATATAAGAAAGTACTGTCCAGAGCTTTTTGTCGATTTGTTAACTAAAATGTGGCCAGAACTAAGGCTGTGCAGTGTGGGTGGTGTCAGTATTTGGTCACCCATGCTGGCCTTCATACAGTGATAGGTGGAAGGCAGGAGTGGGGTGTGCAAAGCTTGAGAGGCTTTAAGTCCTCAGAAAGTCACTCTTTCTAGATGGAAGACCGTCACTAAGTCACAGGCTTTCTGGGTTTGTCTCCTCACTGATAAGTGGGAGGCAGTGTTGTCCCCTAAATTAGAGGGGGAGAGATGTCGAGAATCCCAGGGAGCTGATGGCAATTCTGCCTTTCGTAGTTCTTAGATCTGTGTCTACCTGTAACCTGAACTCCCTGATCTTTGGTGCCAGTAGACAGAAACAACGGTCTACATCTCCAAATTGCACTCATAGCTAAGATGGCACCCCAATGGGCCAAGCTGTCGGACTAAACTTCACTTAGGGTTGTAGCACAATAAATACAAGATGCAGAGATAGATACTGGGGTTCAAGCTTCACTGAAGATCAGAGAAGCCAATAGATCTTGCCTCTACCCAGCTGAAACGGCAATCCTGTCTCCATGAATCCTCAGAGGCAAAAGGCTCTGAATTCCTGTCTCCTCCTCCTTATATTCCTTTCTCCACCCAGTCAGATTCTCCTGTCTCTACCTCCCTAGTGCTGGGATTAAAGGCGTGAACTCTGTTACTCTTTTAGACTGATTCAATCTTGTCTAGCCCTGGTTGGCCTTGAACTCACAGAGATCCATCTGCCTTTGTCTCTAGTCCTGGGGATAAAGATGTGTGCCACCACTGCCTGGCTTCTATGACCAATTAACATGGCTGCTTTGCTATTTTGATCTCCAGTGACTTTAATAAATCATAAGCAATATATCACCACACAGGGCAGCACAACTAACCTAATTAACAATTCCCTCATCTTTCCCTTGCTGCTGCCCTCTCCCCCAACCAGGATGGAGTTCTCTGTCCACTCCTTGAGCACTTCCTCCTTCAACTCCCTGCCCTGTGGCACAGTGCGCCCATTCCTGGGTGCCTCCTCTTCCTGAGAGGACACACATGGGGTCCCATATGTGTGTGTGAGACCCACAGGACCCAAGTCTCACTCATGCTGGGCAAGAACTCTACCGCTGACTCATCTTATTTTTAATTTTGAAACTAGGTCAAGGCTATCCTTGAATTTGCTCTGCAGCCCAAGTTGTCCTTGAACCTGTAATTCCCCCAGCCTCAACCTCCTGAACAGATAGGATTACAGGCCTGTGTCTGGCTTGGTTAACCCATCTGCTTGTAGCATAGGCACCCTTGCTCCTCCAGGAACACCCATCCTTGGCAGCCATCACCTGCACTTCAGTAGGACAGCCGTGATCTCGCAGACACCTCCCCCTGAAGCCTGCTTCCTCCAGCCTCCTAGAGTGACCCTGCCCAGAGAGTCTGACTTATGGCACCTCCTGTAGTCTCAGCTGGCAGGATCCACAGTGCAGAGGTCTGGCCTACAGGGGGGTTGTCCTGTTCTCACAGCACATTTGCAGCTGTGCTCGTGAAGCCATCTGGGTCTGCATGTCTATATACTTCAGGTCCTGGGACAGCATCTCTGCCGTGATCCGGGTGACGCCAATGCTTTGCTCAGCCAATGGCGTCCTCACGCCCTCCTTTCTCAGGTCATTTTCTCCATGTGCAGGCTCTCATGCCATCCATTCTTTTGTTTCCGGCAGAGACAGGAACTGAACCCAGAGCCAGAGCCAGGCAAGTGCTCCACCCCTGAGATCCTTCTGCAGCCCCTCCCCCTTCTCTTTCGCCTTTGCTTTTTGAGACAAGTTCTAGCTCAGTTGCTCAGTCTCCGCCTGTGGATTGGCTGGGACTTCAGGCCTATGTCACTAGGCGTGGCTACCTTCCATTCTTAAACTTCTCATTATTATTTATTTTTATTGACTAATTTTGCTACTTGACAATTTATTACATGCTTATAATACATTCTGATCTTTCTCCCCATCATCTCCCACCCATCCTTGCCATCGCCCCTCCCCATTCCTTCCCAGACTCATGATTTTGGGTTTTGTTTTGACTCATTTAGGTTAACCAGGGCCATCTGTGTAACCACCAAATTGGAAGTGTCCACTGGAGCCTTCTGGGGTCAACTGGCACTTGATTGGAGGTTACGGTTTCCCCGCGTCCTCAGTCTATTGGCAGCAGTTTGGCAGCTAGGGGCCCTCTGAGTTCCGTCTCCATCCGAGCCTGACTGCTGATAGACCCCGTGCAGGTATCAGCAGCTTCTGTTTATGTTCGTAGCATGCACAGGTGTTAATTACAGTCACCCTTATTTTCTGGCTCTTCTTCCCGTTGCTCTCTTCTGCGGTGTTCCCACAACTCACAGAGGTGACTTTCTCACTGTCTAGCACTCGGCTGTTACGGATTCTCAGCACCTAGTGCAGCCACGATTCTTTGTATTCATCCCTATTCACCGCAGAGGCTTCTCCGATTAAGGCTAAGAGTGGCATTAACCTTTCCTTTGACCAAACACCTCCCCTGAATTAGCTGTGATGGCTAATTTTCAGAATCAGCTTGACTGGATCGAGAACCGGTGTGAAAACATTCCTGGGGCGTGGTCTGTGAAGGTCTCTGCACAAGTGTCTACCCAAGAAGGGAAGTCCCACCCCGAGGGTACACCATCACGTGGGATGGGATCCCGGGTGGAAAAGGAGAAATGGAGCTAAATGGCAGACTTCATCTCTCAGAATAGCCACTGATGGACTCTCTCACCTCTGTCCCCTGAAAAAGCAATACACAAAGACCTTTCTGCCTAGGCAGCCTCTGCTTAGCCCAAATGTCGCCATTTTTTGATCTCTATACTTTTGATTACAAAAGTAGCACACATTATGTATGTATATGAATATATATATGTATATATATATCACATGTGAGCGATACAGAAACTAAAGCCCTTCCACCTTAAAAAAGCTTGCTTTGATGTTTTTCTGATGGTATGTTCATGCACGATGTGGATGTGTGGGCGATCCACGCCATGGTGCCCGTGTGGAGCTCAAAGGGCAGCTACGTGAAGTTGGTTCTCTCCTACATTTCTGTAGGTCCTGGTGATCAAAGGTTGACAGGCTGAGTCACTTTGCTGGCCCAAAGACTTATTTTTGATCCATTCTTTTCATATTAATTTTAAAATTTGAAATCATTCACATATAGAAAAAAATACAGGTGGTAACACAAGAAACGCCTGTGTACTTAATCACACGCTGTCAATACCACATATACTGGCTTCATAGCGCCATGAAAACAGAAAAAAGAAGACAGAACCATTTCCCTGGTGCCTCTGGCACTGGCTGCTCCTCAGGGCCCGCTGCTGTCAATCATCAGGGAATGTGTGTCTACTTCTTAGGCTCAGATCAGCTGCAAGGGTGGAAGCCAGTGGCTCCGGGCACTGAGAAGCAGGGATGACTTGGAGTGTGGCTTACTCTAGTCTAGACTGCTCCTGTTTTAGTTACTTTTCTGGTGTTGTGATAAAGTAGCAGGGCTGTAAGAAGAGAGGGTGCCCCCCCCATGAAGTTCCAGAGGAGAAGTTAGCACGGCAGGGAAGGCGTGGTGTGGCAGCAAGGTAGGAACAATCGCATTTCATGGGCAGAGAGGGGCCAGGAAGTGGGGTGGTTATAAACCCTCAAAGCCTGTTCCCAGGGCTGTACGTCCCCCAGCAAGACTACCCCCTGTAGATTCCAGAACAGCCCTAAACAGTGCCACTTACAGGTAAACAAGTTTCCAAACACATGAGGTCCTGGGGAGACGTTTCTGGTTCTAATCCCCATGGTGCCTTGGGCTTTCCCACCCGTCCTCTGGTCTGCTCTCCACCCCACCTGTATCTCTGCTTGTTAACATCTCCCACACTCCTCAGCACATTTCTTATGCCGGTGGCCATCTTTATTTTCACCAGGATTACAGAATATCTGACAAACATTTTGGGCTGGGTGAGCGTGTGCTCCATCCCCAAGCTAATGAGGAAGTGTTAAAATGTGGTCTGGGTGGTCCAGGCAGGGTGGGTGGTAAGCCAAGTGTTTGTCTGCAAGGCTTGCTAT